CGATGGCAAAGGAAAGCATCATACCCAGTAATACAGCTCTAGGGAGTTTTGCCCATGATAATAGAACATTTTGGAGAGTGTGGAGGGAGGAGGGGAAGCAATTGTAAAACTGAGGGAGACAGGATATAGGGCTCTATTTGCTGAGGGAAAACAGCTGGAAATACACCATGGTTGTTAGAGAAAATAAACTTTCTTGGAAATTAAATTCAGGGAAGATGAAATTGAAAGCAAGAGGAAATGAAAATTCTCCCTGATTTAAAGAAGGCACATTTAAGAAAAAGTGAAATGATGGTAAAATTTTTCAGGTACTTCTATGAATTTCTGGTTTTGTGAGTGGCTAGTGCTTTTCCTTTATTTATTCTTCTATTAGAGTGATCATCTTATGTATTGATTTGTAAGCACTCAGTGTATTAACCTTTTTTTTTCTGAAAAATGTATTGCAGGTAGATTCCCTATTTATCAATTTTGTTTGTGGTGGGGATTTTTTCCCAGAAGTTTTTAAATGAGTAATCAATTTTCTCCTTTATGCTTTGTGAATGTATCATTAAGCTCAGAAAGACATTCAATACACCAAGATTATGAAAATGTCCCCTATTAGTAATCAAAAAATGCAAATAAAAATAAGATCTAACTTTTTACCTATAAGACTCATTTCCTCAACAAATATTTGTCAAGTGTTCATCATGTGACTGTGACGAGCATATACAAGGGAGCTGGGGATCCAGGAAAAAGGGGGGAAGACTTACTCCTGTGACATTTATATTTTACTGGGTCCATATACACAATGAATAAGATGAATAAGTAAATTAGAAAATACCCTAGAGAATAAGCGCTATGAAATAAAATTGAGCTGGAAAGTGGGGGGGGGGTGATGCTGGAGTGTGGGACAGGTGACATTTAAAAGAAGATAATTCCACAAGGTCTCTGTGCTGGGGCCAGAGCTTTGAGCCAGTGTGAAGCACAAGGTACACAAAGTGAAGAGTAGAAATTGGGGTTGGGTGATAATGTTAGGGGGACAGGATGTTCTGAGCTAATCCCATACAGGCTTTTTGGACCCCACCCCCACTCCAGACTAAAGCCATCAGGACATTGGGAAAGACAAATCCCGTCACCACCAAAGGGAGGGTGGCTGGGACCTGAGGGTGAAGTTGGGCAGCCAGGTTGGATATAAAAACCAAACACGTGGGCCTTGGGGGGCTCGCCATCGCTCGCCTCCTGGCTTCACCGCTCCTGGCTCGCGGCCAGCTCTCAGGTGCCATTTGGGATTCCTGATCGGCAGATCGGGTAGGACTCATTTAAAACTTTGTCTCCCACTTTTCTCCCTGAGCTGTACATTTCCTCATTTCCCCTTCCCTTGTAAATAAACCTTTTATGAACCTTTCGCGTGTGCCTGCAGTGGAGCATTACTAAGTCCTTTTAAGCGCGCGGGTGAGGACCCACAGTCAGGCACCCCGTTTTGTATCAGGGTTGCTCTACAACAATAAATATCACCTAGAGCTGGCGGGCCTTTGCAAGAGTTCAGGTGTTCCCATGAACAAGATGGGATGGCTTGGGAGAGTTTTGACTACAGGGTGATATCAAGTTACCAGTCATCAGATTCACTCTGTCTTCCATGCTGAGAGTGGGCTCTGCCGGAAGTGGGACAGCCTGCAAGGGGACTATTCCAATAATCCAGGTGCGAAATGACAGTGACTTGGGCCTGCAGTGGTAGTGTTATAGAGCAACCCCGATATTAAACGGGTTCCTGGCTGTGGGTCCTCACCCGCGCGCTTTAAAGGGACTTATGAATACTCTACTACAGACACACGCAAAAGGGTTAATAAAAGGTTTATTTACAAGAGAAAAAGAAATAAGGAAAATGTACAACTCAGGGAGAAAATAGGGAAATAAAGTCTTTAATGCGTCCTACCCGATCCGACGACCTGGAAACCCAAAGTCACTCTCAGAGCTAGACGGACGCCGCGAGCTGGCCGAGGGCCCCAAAATGGAGAGAGCCCCAAAGCCCACATGTCTGCCTTTTGTATCCACCTGGCTGCTTAACCCCACCCTCAGGTCCCAGCCACCTTCCCTTGGGTGGTGATGGGATGTAGAGTTCCCAGTGTCTTTGGCTTTGGCCTGGGGTGGGGGTGGAGTCCACAAAGCCTGTATGGAATTTGCTTTGGGGCAGCCTTTTCCCCCTAACACTGGGGTGGGGGTGGAGTCCACAAAGCCTGTATGGAATTAGCTTTGGGACAGCCTTTTTCCCCTAACAATTGCAGAGGATTGGATATGACGTCTGAAAGATAAGCGAAAGGCTTTGGCCAGTGCCGCGTAGGGCAAGGCAGCCATTAACGTTGTAAGTGAAGCAGATTTGGGGGAAGACATTGAGAGGCTTCATTTCAGACGTCAACTTTAAGATATGGACTAGGATCGCCACAGAACGTCCAGTGATCCACTGGATCAACAGGTACGTTCCAGAGCTCACCTCCATCTCTGAACTGGACATGGGCATTTGGAGATCGTCAGTATGTTGGTGAGGCCACAAGACCAAGTGAGACTACAAGAGGAAAGATTAGGAATACTGACAACACATTGACAGGCGTACAAGAAAACCACATTCTCGTGTCTCCTGTCTAAGTCAAGAGAAGCCCTGCTGGGGAGGAATTAGCAAAGGCATCACGTGGCATTGACCACACAATGCTGTGTCTGGGAATTATTTTAAGGAAGGAACCAAAGTCAGTAAAAATAAGAATACTCATGTCATTAATTGTATAGCAAAAACCAGAAACCACCTAAATGGCCAACAAAAGGGACTTAGTTACTATGAGACACACACACTCTTATGCTGCCGCTGAGTATTCCAGAACTAGAGTACAAAGGTTGGAGGCACACAGGCTATGCTATCCATGGTTGGTTAAATATTTTAGCAAGTACAGTATATTACAGTACAGTATAGATGGGCGTGGGTGGTTTTTTTCTTTATTGTTTAGATTGCATCTTAGGAGACAATTATTCTAATCAGGAACCCACCCCCTGGGGCGGTCAGGCAGCATTTATCAGAAAGACCACACTCCAGAGGCCAGCACTAAAAGCCCTCTGTAATCTGCATCTCTCATCAACAAGAAATACTTTTTTGCTAATTAGCATACTGAATTTCAGAAATGGATTTTCATAGGGGAAATTAATGGTTTGTTAATGAGCATAATGGATATTAGAAATGGACAATCACTGGTAAAATTTGTAGAATTCAAGAGATGTGACTTGGCTAAAAACCTGTTGAGAGCCACCTCCCAACCTGCAGGCAGAGGAGCTGGGGGGTCAGCCGGAGCTTGATGTTTTGTGTTTTCGGGCACACCCCGATCCCTGCACAGCGCTCTCTGAGCCACACATTTATTTAGATTCTGGCTGTCAGTGGCTTCACTCTCTCAGGATCAGTCATGTCCTCAGTGACCAGCCAGACTTGGGCATGCATAAATCTTGACCTCCTCCTCCTCCAGGCAGTTGGCAGAGTTTACAAATGTATCTCCTCTCATTGGTTTAAGTGGCAAGAGTCTCTGGGTGGTTCCAGTGCATTTCCACTGCTGCCAGCTTCTGCCTCGCCTGCCTCTCCTACTTCCGCCCTCCCTTCCTATCACTGCCTGAAGCCGTCCTGATCTATTTCCCAAAGCCCCTGGGTCCCTCCCTGTCTCTTTATCTTGCCTCCCTTCCCCATCTGTCTTCTTGTTCCTATTCTTCAGTGTTCCCGGGGCGCCCAAAGGAAAACCAGTTCAGAAGCAGCAGCACGGTGAGATGCCCTGAATGATTAGCACACCCCCACTCCCCAGAAAGGGCCTGTTTTTGTACACCCACACTCCAACATCTGCCCTCGATGGAGACTGGAAAAAAACCATAACCCAACGATTAAAGTTTTCAGCAAGCTTTCCTCCCTGGTTTTAAAAAGACTGAATAGAAACACAGGCGAGATCAAGTCATAAAACCCAAGAATTCAAACCTGGTAAGAATATCAAGAAAACCATTCCTTCTTCTACTGGCTTTTTCAAAAAACTGTTTGATTTGAAGCTCACCAATCCCTGTCTGAATGAACATATGTTACCACACAATTACTCCCCTTTGAAAATACCCGCTGCCCTACAAACCAGCAGGAAAAAGGGATTTTCTGGCGGGGGGTGGGCAGCGAGACTGAGCAGCCTGACCCTTTTAACTGCTCTAAGTGGCTGCCTGTTTCCTCTCTCGGATCTTTCTCTTCCCCTCCTGCTGCTGTGATGTTGTTTCTGCTTTGCAAGGACATGTCATTTTACTTACCGCTCTCTCCCCCCTCCTTAATTGGCCTGCAGTAAAAATACAAATTGCACCGCTGTACTTTATTATTAGTCCTTTGATGGGCCAAAAATGCCTCCTAAGTACTGCCTGGAGGATATTAATCAGACCTGCTGACTCTTGTAAGCACCCACTTTTACATCTTGACCCCCAGAGGAGGCCAGTGGGTGGTAATCATGCCCCCCTCCCCCCAGAAGCATTTAGCCAGTCGCTGCCTCTCCGGCGACAAAGACACCCGCAAAGGTGTGGCGTCCGTCCTGGGTGACGGAAGGACACAGTCCAAACGGTCCCTGTGCCCATTAGCTCTAATGCCCGTTGTACTTTATGGGCATGGCGAGTCTCTCTCGTTTTCCCCTCTGTCTAAGCACGGAGCAGGAGTGCCCATCTGCCGCCTAACATGGCGGCTCAGCTAAGCAATCTTCTAAGTCCCGAAGTTCAGCAAACTCAGCCTCCTTTCTTGGAGGTAAAATCCAGGACAATCATGGTCCCAGAAAAGCTGGTGCAGAGTGACACTGCAGCCACCAGGCCCAGGAGCCCCCCCGCCCAGGGGCCGCGTCCCACCCAGGGCTCACAATTGCATTTCAGGGCAATGCTGAGTGTTACCAGGATGCCTGTGTGACCAGCCATACCCGTGTTACCAGGATCTGTGGGTTTATTATGAGATTTCACTGTCACAGGCGCTGAGTGTAAATCTCACCACTAACCTTGTATCAGCTGGGAATTCAGATCGTAGTGTGTCCTCGGAAACCTAAAGAAAGAAACAGGCAGCACTTTTTTCAGTGTAAATGAAAAGTAAAATCTGCAGATCAAGTAAACTGACTGGGGCTAGCTTCTGTCTTGACTTATTCCTTCAGAAACTAGCTCACATGCGGCGCCCACCTACCTGGATGCCAGAAGCTCCTCCCAGGGAGCTCCTCCTCTCTTTGGATTTCTCCGGGTCTGCCCACAACTCGCTGCAGGACATGCTGGGCTGCAGTTTCTATTAACTTAGCTTGATGCATCATTTATAGTTTTGTCTAAGGTTCTATTTTCTCCACTGAGGTCATTTCTTCACGATCTCTTTTTCCTGCATATAAATGTTCATGGGTTCCAAGGTTTTGTAGCCATAACAATTTTTTAAGAGGACATTTCAGCTCCAAAGGGAGATTTCAACGCATTCCAGCAATAATTATCAGACAGTTAGAGGAACTCCCAATATAGTCCTTGCATTCTGAGGTCATCGTGGCTTTGTTTTTCATCTCAGAGGCGCACACATCACTTATAGATGTCTTGCTCTTCCACAGTCACAGTTCTTTCAGATCAGTCAACATGAAGTTGGGCAAACCGGGGGTTTCATGCCCTGTTCCTTTCTGTAAAATCACCCCCTCTCAGGCAGTGAGCCCAGGGAGACAAGGCCTGGGAACTGATTGCAGGGAACACCAGCACTCAAGCCCACAAAGGGTGGGGGGGAGAGGAGCCATGGGCCTGGGTAAGAAGAACAGGAGAAAAAGGAAATGTCATCCCAGAAGCCACAGAAAAAATCAGGGGAGTCAGAGGTCCCAGAGGAGACATAGAGGAGGATCAGGAGAAGAATAAGGAGAGGCTATCCCCAAACCCAGGAAACATCACAGGAAACAGAGCGGCGGTGAGGATCAAGGTCAGGGGACAGACAGCTCGGCAGGAAAACCACTGGAGGGCAGACATCATAAGTATTAGCCTGACACCTAGATTAAAGAAAGATGGAGTAGTGTTGGATGGATGGGTGGATGGAGGCACGGATGGATGGAGGCACGGATGGATGGATGGGTGGATGGATGGATGGATAGATGGATGGATGGATGGAGGATGGATGGATGAATTGAGGGTGGATGGAGGATGGACGGATGGATGGATGGATGGATGGATGGATGGATGGATGGGGCTGGATGGATGGATGGGTAGATGGATGGATGGATGGAAGATGGATGGAGGATGGATGGATGGATGGATGGAGGATGGATGGATGGATGAATGGAGGATGGATGGATGAATGGATGGGTGGATGGAAGGATGGGAGGATGGGTGGATGCAGGATGGGTGGATGGATGGATGGAGGATGGATGGATGGATGGATGGATGGGTGGATGGATGGATGGAGAATGGATGGATGGATGGATGGATGGAGGATAGATGGATGGATGGATGGATGGATGGATGGATGGAGGATGGAGGATGGGTGGATGGATGGATGGATGGATGGAGAATGGATGGATGGAGAATGGATGGATATATGGAGGATGGACGGATGGATGGATGAGTGGATGGATGGATGGAGGATGGATGGATGGGTGGATGGATGGATGGAGGATGGATGGATGGATGGATAGACAGACAGGCAGACAGAGAGACAAACAGATAGACAAAATATAGACGAGCAGTAAGCAGTTTCCAAGTCTACTTTCCTGTGTTTTCCGTCCTGAAGCGCAGGACGTGACACTGCAAACGTGGCTCACCCTGGCGTAGCCGCTGTCAAGAGGCGTCTCAGGAAAACGCTGGGTTGTGTCTACTCGTCAGGAGACGGCCAGAACGGAGAAGAGAAACAGCAGTTCCGGGACCAGAATTTACTTCCTGAGCCCGCAGTGACTCACTCGTGACTCCCGCTAAACTCTGGCCCTGGCCGCTGCCGCAGGGAGGGGTGGGGGGGTGAGCCGCGCGTTTCCCACCGCGGCCGGCCGTGGGCACAGCCGCTTGGCTCCCCGGCACCAAGTCTGATCCATTCAGGTGAGGATCCTCCCGGCTGCCAAGCCCCTCTCTGGCTGCTCCTCATCCTCACACATCCGCCTGTCCTAGAAATGCTCACTGGTTGCAAACGACAGGTCCTGCGGGGTGTTGGCACCAGCTGAGTTGCAGGAACGAGGTGACAGCAACCTTGCTGGTCTTCTCACGTGGAGGTCAGGCCGGCGCCAGCCCTGGAGACACTCTGCCCTTTCATCCTCGGGAGCTCATCACCAGGGGCCCTGTGTCCTCTGGCCATAGGAAGTCCTGGCGGGAAGTTGGGGGAAGCGGGAAGGGGAAGCCAGCAGGTGCGCAGGCTCGCGGCCCCCTGGCTGCTTCCCAGTGAGGCTGTGTGGAGAAGAGGCACCTTTCCAGAGGTCACTGCTCTTCTCTTGGCGGCTCCCCAGTCCCTTCTCCTTACAGGCCCGCCAACCTTGCCTTCCTCACAGCCTTTCCATCCCGGCGGTGCTAACGGCCCCGCTGTGGCCAACTCCGGCTTCCTGAACTACCCTCCTTGTAAATAAACCTCCTCAGATTTTCCTTGAAGCACCCTAATTTGAGTGTTTCCTGTGGCCCTGAAGTGCTCAGATAGGCGCTGGGTTTGGGGAGGGCAGGGGACAGTCTCAAACCAGCTGATTTATGTAATGAATGTATAGTCAATAAAATGAGGCCTAAAGTTGGGTTTCATGTTTGAAGTTCATTCCTGGACCAGCGCGGCACCCTTGACCTGTGACGGCCTCTGAAGCCCAGCAAGACCCGAGCCTCCCTCAGACCCCGCTAAGCAGCACAAGGGAACGCCGAAGGTGAGTTCAGGAATGACTGGCCTGCATGGTCTGAGTCCCCAGAACACAAGCCCTGAAGATACAGCAGATGTTTTTTCTGCTTACGTGGAATCAGTGGTTTAATTGGCCCACGATAGGGAGGCACCTATTTACCACTCGAGAGAAGCTTCTGTTCTAACACCTCAAAACAGGCAGCCTCAGAAAAGCTGCTGGACGTCCCTGAGCTCCCTGGAGAGGAACGGCCAGCTGCAACAAGGAAGGCTCGGGGCCCGAAGCAGGCGGTGGGCTCAGCCATCCCTACAAAGCACCCCAACCCCAACAGCCCGGCCCTCAAGGAAGTCAGCACCCCGTTTGATATGTCTTTTTATATGGTATGTTAGGGCTTTTTTTTTTCTCTTGACCTGATTTTGTAATCACTTTGCTTAGCAAGCACCATATTTGGAAGTCTGGAGGTTTCTATTCCACAGAAGCTCCTGAAAATAGAGATGTTCTTCTTTTTCAGAGACAGCGAATGTCTAATTCTCGCCTCTAAATAGTCTAGGTTAATTGCTTCACTTAATATCCTATGGCAGCAAATGCTACAGCCTCATTCATTCAATGTTATTCGAGAAAAAAAAATCCCCTTTGTATGAAATTGGGCCTCAAAGTGAAACTAGTGGGGAAAGGAAACAGGTGTCCGAGTTTACCTTTCTCTGGAGAAAAAGCTCTCACACTTCACTCCCCATGTGCACGGCGCCAAGTACGAGGGGTCCTGGGAAGCGGAGCCAGAGGGCCTTGTAGCTCTGAATATAAATCACGTCTCCTCCATGTGACAAGTCGTGTCCAGGCAAAGCTTATCACAGATTCAGCCTGAGATCTCGAGAACGAAAAGAAAAAAATAACAACAGCTTTATGGAGCCGCTACCCTCAGGAAATCACTTGAGCTCATCCCAATTTTAAAGTCTCATTCTATACAGCAAGTGGCTAAAACCCCATTTTCTGGGAGAACAGCCTTTACAGGGAAGGAGTGGCCCAGCCATCTGCTGACTGATCGCGGGGGTGTCGGCCTGGTTTCCCTAGTCCCCCTATGAAATTGCACCGATCACAGAAACACACTGGCCAGGAAGCCCGGCTGCCAGATACAAGTGAATTTAAGCCCACATGTATTGAAGCTGCAAGCTTAGTTGGCAATTTATGTGCAAGTGGTTTTGTATTTATTGATCTGGACCAAGCGCAGGTCCTATAGGGGAAATATGACAGATTTCATCTGTCTGACAGCCAAGTCTAATTGTATTTTCAGTCTGAAATGACCAAAGACAAAAGTGCTCATGTCAGGAGGCTTCGCTCTGATGCCAGATGGAGTCTCAGATTCGGGGCTGCGGTCACTCTAAGTGTGCATTTTAATAACCACATGCGGACTGCATCCTGAGCAGCCAAAGCCAGAGAGGTGAGAGTTTTTAATTCAACTCTGAATTAATAGACCATCTGATTCCATGTGAATGCGGGTGGGCCATTTTACAGAGTGCCTTTTATGGATGTGATTGGGAAGTTGAAAAGATGTGTCATCTATCGTTGATTCATCTGGACCATGAAACTTTGGAGCCAAAAGTCAGACACTTGCCACAATGGTTGTCACTGAGATTATCACCAGCACTTCAAAAACATCTTCTCGAGCCTTACTTTCTAGTTGGGAAGGCTAATTGTGGCTGTGACAATGTGGTTTTCTCTCTCTCTCTCTCTCTTTCTCTCTCTTATAAGGACCCTTGTTATTACACTGAGCCCACACACATAATTCAAAATCATCTTCCCATCCAAAACCCTAAGCACTTCTGCACAATCCCTTTGCACTTAAGGTAACACATTCTCAGATTCCAGAGATGGGACATGACTCTTAGGGAAGGGGGTAGAAATGGAAGGGAGATGACATTCCAGACATTATTCCACCTACTACACCTACCCAGACAGTCTTGTTTCATAGAATTATCTCCCACTTTTCTATGGGTTCCACACCCACTGGTGTTCCTCTAATTCCTAAAAGAAACCCATGGTTGGGCCTCCCCCGGTGGTGCAGCAGTTGAGCGCTGGGCTGCGAAGCTGCCCGCAGCCTCTGCAGCACCGGTTCGATCCCCGGCCACCAGCAAGGGTCCCACATGGCACGACAGACCTCTCCTGCTGCACCCGCTGCTCCCCTCAGCAGTGTATTTCGTCACTCTGCCTATTCTGTTCCCCGCTCTGGCTCTGGTGAATTCTCTCACCCTCCCGCACTTCTGACTGTACCCAGTGCTTGTATAAATAAATAAATAAATCTTTTTTAAAAAATATGGTTATCATTGCCACAGGGCCTTTGCCCATGCAGGATCCTCTTCACCACTTCACTTACTCTTAGCCATCTTTCAGGTTAGGTGAAGTGCACCTGCTAGATACCCTTGTGGTGTCATCTTTTTCTTAGCACATACCACAGTTCCCAGTTAAGTTGGTTAATATCTATCTCCCCCACTGGCCTATAAGCCCCATGAGGACAGAGACCATATTTGCTGTTGCTCAGTTTTGCCCAATACCTAGGCCAGAGCATGTGTCATTAGCATTTGGTGAATACTTGGGAATGACTCCAAGAAGAGTCCTGTTAATGAGGTTGGTACGGCAGGGCCTTGAGGGCAGCTCAGGAATTTGGGTATTTTCCTGCAGTTTGAGTACCATTAGCTACTGTAGATTTTTGAGCAGGAAATAGCTTGGAAGCTCTCCTGTACCACTAGGGAAACATCTGCCTCTAGCAAAGAAGCAGCAATGACAAATTTATAAAATATTTTCACATATCATGGAAGAAACCAGCCGCTTCTCTTTTATTGTAACCACACACTTCCAACTCATTAATTGGCATTAATATATAAAACTGATGGTAACATCCACTGAACTTCACTTAATTTTACCCAAGAGCCAAAGTTAGTCAAAAGTCTCACATGAAGTCAAGCGTGACTTTAACAATTTTAAATAAAAGCACAAAACTCCGGGATAACTCATGAATGGGTTAGCTTTTCTTTCCAGAGCTCTTGACTGGTTTCAGCCACAACACATCAATTTTCAAAGACATGCATAGTAACTAGTAACGGGGACACTCCCTCGTGTCTGGGATTACTGTCAACTCAATTGAAACAAATTCTAAGTTCTGCCTCTAATGCTTCTGTTCACCGGTTTAAAAGATGCATTTTAGAGTTTTGCACTGTTGGGTATCCAATTTATGTGGTTATGAGGAGCAGCTAAGCAGTTTATCTTCTATCCATTTGAAAGATCAAAACGGAATTCCAACGAAACCCTAAACCTTTAGTGCAGCGATTCTGCATGCCTGGAGGCCAGGGGAAAATGGGCCAAATTCACATTAAATGGGGCTATAGACAAGCTACTCTGCATAAAGCTACAAGTCAAGTCAGACTTTGGGGAGTCAAAAAATGGTCAGACCTAGGATCTGAGACCAGCCTGCAGGGGTCCCCTCCACGCGGTCCCAAACATCAGACCTCACGGGTAGGAGAGGGCTGCGCGGTCTCTCCATCCACACCCCTCACAGAGGACTTGGGGGTTGCGTGAACCCAACAGTAACTTGCTTTATTATTCCCTGCTGCTTCAGTACCACAACCAATTTGACTTTTCCATCGGTTTCTAGAAGCAGCAAGGTTGGTGGTGAGGGTGGCGGTGAACACCCATGAATGATTCATGTTCGCGCAAGTGGAGCCCGTGGGAAATGTTGCCAATAACTTGGTTTATTTCTTATCTTTAGCTCTCAGCAGACAATAGATTTGTCTATATTTTTACGAAGAGTCATAAATTTTTCAGTTAGTGTACAAATAATAACACTATGTGATTCCATTTGGTCTCAGTCCTTGGGGCGCTGGGAGAGGCGAGGGAAGCCCTCTCTTCTTCATCAGTGTGGCCCACGCTGCCCTCGCCGCTTGGAGCAGAGGGCAGGGCGCCTGCTGTGATTCCTCGGGCCAGCACCTTCGCTGCGGGTGGTGTCAGTTAAATGGCCCCAGAGGACTGTCCTCACTGCCAGGTGCTGCAGGGAACTCGGAGGCCGGCTGACCCCTGCAAGGGGGGGCGGTGGGGGTGGATGCGGAGGGCACAGCATGAGGATGCTCCAGACCGGAGCCCGAATCTCCCCTGCAACCTTGGATTGAAATTCCTTCCCTCATATACGAAAATGAGGAAATACCTTTCAGGATACTTTTGAGGTTAAATTAAAATACTCCATGAAAAACGCCTCACCCAGCGCAGCCTCTAGTAAATCCTCAGCACGTCGCCTCCTGATCTCCTTTGACCTTCCCCTGGAGAGGTGCCCTCCACGCGCCCTGCCTGTGAGCACAGGGACACGGACCCTGGTGCGGGCACCATTCCACACCCAACGCAGGCCCTGCCAGCCCACGAAAAGATGCATCTGAACAATGCCGCATCAGCCTCCCCGCGGCGGGGTTCCAGCGTAAATGCGCCTGAGTGGCCAGAAGACCTCCCTGCTGTCGGGTCTCCCACAGAATCAGAAGAGGATGCTGTTCCTTCTCCACGGCGCTCTCACATGCATGAGGTGTCCTGGAGAGCTCGCCGGCTCCCGGGACTGGGGCCTTCACCCCGGGTTTCCATGCAGAACCCCTCCCCACCAGGCCCTGCCTGGGGCCCCACGCCTGCCTCCACACGTGACCCACTAGGCCATCAACACTTGCTGACGCCCCTTGAACACATCTCGCGCTCCTTCCTCAGCTCTCAGGCTGCAGGGAACCCCACTTTGCAGCCGTCCCAAAGCCCCAGCCCCAGTCGCCGCTTCCCAGCATTGCATGAATGACAGTATTTCTTCCTCTCTTGGATGAAGCAAACATTCACTCTGAGGCACGTTTTTGAAGCAATAAACAGCTCACTTCTTTGTGGAAAAATAGGCAATTTTCGAGTAACCTTTGGAAGCGTCTAAATAACCCACACATTTATGGCTGAGTGAGTCTTTGGATTGAAGAAACTTGAAGCTTGTGTCTGCAAAGATTTCCATTAACATCTTTGAGCAACCTCTCATCTCATTTTAAAACAAATGGCTCCCTCCCTCCAACAGAAGAGCAGGCCCCGGCTCCCCTCCGGCTTGGCTTCCCAAGAAGGTTTGGCGCGTGCTGGAAACACGCTTCTGCGAGCTCAGATGCGGCCTGCACCGGGGGCCTCGGGGCCTGGCGGTGAGGGTGGACGTCTCTGCGGTGGCCAGGGTCAGCCTTTCTGTCTCGTTGTCATTGTCTGCATCTCACCTCCCCCGGCCTCCCTTCTGCAGGAAGAAGTCTCCCGGGAGTGGGCAAGGGCCGTGTCCCTGACCCTGGCTGCAGCAGAAAGGCAGGGTTTTTAGAGGGTTTGTTCTCAGGAGAAAACCACGTAGGCTGTCTTCATCTCTCATCCACTTCTCTACTCGCAGCGTAAGGAGCTAACGCCGCCGCAGCTGCTGTCCTTAGCGCATTCATTGCTGCAAATTACAGCCTCGAGATAGGAGCAAAATCCCCTCGACAAGGGTGAGGGGCCAAGGGCTGGCCAAGCACAGGTCCTGCACCCCCATAGTAAGTGGGGCGGCAGCAAGCCCAGGGAGCTAGGAAGGCGCGTGGACACACACTCCTCACAGAGGGAGGCGGAGAAGGGGTGAGCAGGGCAGGGGGAGCAGAGCGCCTCTGGGGTGCCTGGCAGCCTGCGCCAGGGCCAAGCCGTCCGG